TACCATAAAATAAATCACCTCTATAAATGGATAGACATTTGTTCTCAATAACAAATCTAAAACCATCCGAGTCTAAGTATGAAATCGATATAATGTTCTTACTGATAGCAAGAACAAAATAACAATCATGTAACTCCAATACAAGTCAAGAAGGTAAAGTCAGATAAATGGGTATTCCGTCTTAAACGACTCTCTAATGGCTCTATTGACAGGCACAAGGCAAGGCTCGTTGCCAAAGGATTCCATCAAAGACCGGGCCTAGATTACACGGAAACATTCAGTCCGGTGATAAAGGCAGCTACCATCCGTGTTATTATAAGTCTTGCTGTCCAAAAAGGATGGGAACTACGCCAAATTGATGTCAATAACGCATTTCTTCAAGGCACCTTACATGACGATGTCTATATGGTTCAACCGCCGGGATTTGTAGACAAAGATCGTCCCTCACATGTATATAAACTGCACAAGGCGTTATACGGTCTTAAGCAAGCTCCCCGGGCATGGTATAATGAACTCCGACACTTCCTACTACAATCCGGGTTTGTGAACTCTCTTTCCGACTCATCACTCTTCATCTACCGGCATGGCCATACAACAATCTACATGATCGTCTATGTTGACGACATTGTCATAACCGGGAATGATTCTGTGGAGGTTCAGACATTCATTGACGTCCTTGCCCATCGATTCTCACTCAAAGATCTGGGCAAGCTGTCATTTTTCCTCGGCATTGAGGTAACCCGTGATAAGAGTGGAATCCGTCTGACTCAACAGCGATACATAAATGATCTCCTCATGCGACACAACATGGCTGATGCAAAATCTGTCCCAACGCCGATGGCATCAACGACAGTCATCTCGGCCGCCTCAGGTTCTACTCTTGCTGATCCGAATACATATCGACACGGCATTCACTTTCGCACCAACTCACCGTATGATGTTCATGCTTTTTCGGATGCTGACTGGGGGAGAGACCGAGATGACTACAGCTCAACGGGAGCTTACATAGTGTATCTTGGCTCTAACCTTGTATCTTGGTCTTCTAAGAAGCAGCGTTTCACCGCAAAATCGTCTACCGAGGCCGAGTACAAGTCTGTTTCATCAACTGCTTCGGAAGTCCAGTGGATCATCTCACTTCTCTCCGAGTTAGGTATTACACACTCTACTCCACCGGTGATTTATTGCGACAATGTAGGTGCCACGTATTTGGCCGCAAATCCCGTGTTTCATTCCCGAATGAAGCATGTCGCTATAGATTTCCATTTCATCAGAGGACTAGTTCAATCGAAGCAGCTACGTGTCACACACGTCTCTTCAAAAGACCAGTTAGCTGATGCACTAACAAAGCCGCTGCCACGAACACGCTTCGACGAACTCCGA